TTCCTGAGCAAGTTTTATAGCTTTTTAAGGTAATTTGAAATTCATGGATTAATAATATAAACAACTGGAAATTGGTCCGGTTGCACACAGAGTAATAGACTTGTTTGCTGAGAAAGTGATACTGCATGCAGGCATAGATTTACCTATGTAGCTAGAAGAACTTAGAAGCCTCTTTTATGTTTCTTTAGATTTGTTCCAAAATATATCAATAATACTTGCTTAAATACAACACAGGAAGGTATTACTACAAAAAGAATGTCATAATGAAAAGAAAGCAACCTGGGATCTTGAACTCTCTTTGAATTTTTCTTGTCATTCACTTCCACAAAATGGGTCATTCCAAATATGCTAACTCATCCAGGCACCTATGCCAATTTCTAAGAATTAACCCTAACATAACTTCCATCCTGAAGTATGAATCTTATCACAGATTGCTGCTCAACAATACTTGATCTTGTATTTCATTGATATCAGTTAGATTCTTTGAGTGATCTACTCCAGAATGTAGGGTCTTAAGGAAAAACCTCCATAAGAACAGCCTCAAGTTTGGGTGTTTTTTTACCAGCTTTTTCTTTAGTTATTTTTTTAACATAGAAATTACTCCTTACACATCATCATCTAATATATCTAATGCAGCACAGCATTCCATTTCAGATGCTTCAGCCACGCATTTCTGTTTATGGAGTTGCTTTCCTTTTGGAAACATCACCACCACCCCCTCCAGTTTGTTTTTTTTTTTACTTAGTGGTTTGTCTCCTTCAATCATCTCATCTTTTTCCTTCAGGCAACAGTAGTTATCTAATGTTAGGTAAAAATTGTTGCTATACTTACATAAAAGTAATTGTTTTCACTACTAATTCACATTGTACTGTGTTTGAGGGGCTGCTCTAGGTTCAAATCCCCAGTCACAGAGAGTCCTGAGACCAGCACCAGTCTGCCACCTGGGGAGCCTGGCTGTGCCTTCAGCCAGGCCATATCCTGCACTACAGGGCTGGGGAGCCACAGTTATCTCTCCTGTGAACCATTCCCTGAAATAACTTATTTGGGTATGCAGCTCATATGGTCAGGAAAACTGGTCATACCAGATTGCAGTCTCTCTTTCATCCCATTAAGTGAATTTCATTCATTTTGATGCATATTCTTTGTAAATGGGGTAGATATCCTGCTGATTATTTACTGGCAAAGTCAAAAGTATGAGCTAATTATTTTGGTTATTCATTATCCTGCTGAGACAAATGTTATGAAGAACAAAAGGCAGAATTTAATAAATTAGCTGGCAATGCTAATCTAATGCGAGTTTGAGCATTACTCAGGAAATATAAGCCCTATGAAAAGATCTAGTGAAATCAGAAAGGCCACCTGGTAATAATAACAGAAGAAGGGACTTGTTCTCTAATTACCAGACATGGATTTGGGAAATCTGGCTTCCAAAGCACCATGACTTTGCAGTTCATTACATTCTCAATGACTCATATCATTAATATGTCCCTTTAATGGCTCTTTGTTGTCTTGACCCTTATTATAAGAGGATCGTTCATTCTTTCAAGATAAGGGTTACCCTTGTGTTCACAAAGTACTGCCTTAATCTAAGCAGACTTGTTGCATCCAAATTCTAGCAGATAATGAGAATCCAAGTGAAAAGCACAGCTACAGAGTCTAATAATCCAGAGTTGGAGAGAGAATCAAAGTACAAGAGATGTGACAGAAAGATTAAAGGAAGACTTACATTGAACACCATAGGGTTACCCCTTTCAATGTCTCTTTTACATTGGTATGACAGGTTTAGTATCATACTGTGGGGTCCTCATAAACATACACCTGAAATAAACTGCCCTGACTCTGCTTCCCACAGGGAAGTATTAGGATTTGTGAACTGGACTGTCCTTTCCACTTCCAACCACAGCTACATATAGGACATGTACACGTCAACACGATACATCTCATAGAGGCATTAAGTCTTAGGAGAGCTTTCAGCACGTTTGGAACACATGCTTTGGCTGACAGAACGCGTTCAAAATACTAAGCACTAAACACTCAGGTTACACTTTCAATTTTCATGTTGCCTGAGATTTCAAACGTCCCATTCCAACTGATTTCTGTTATAAACTGACTTCTTAAAATTGGCTGAGTCAGAGTTCCCAATTTTTTTATTTAGCAAGTGGCAACAAGTAAAACAGTGCTGGGCGGCCGGGGAGTCTCCTGCTCCAACAACGGCCCGCACCCTCCAGGGCACTCTGTTTCAATCTTATACTACAAAGTATGACATAGTCATTATACACATATACATATTCACTACTTGAACCCGCCTACTCCCGCTTCATATGGTAATTAGTTTATCAGTCCTTTACGCTTGCGCAGAAGTTGTTAAAACTACGGTCAGGGGTCTTCAAATCGTGGGGGGTGGTCTTCTGGGAGGAAGGCCGTAGGTCCTCCTCACGGCGTAGCTTGGAATGTGATGATCCTCGGAGTTTGCAGAGTTCTTATCAGTCTAGGCCCAGTAATCTCTTTGCATAATGAGATTCATGGTTGTGAACATCCTCCTGTTTTATTCAATTATGCGCCTGCAATTCTCCACATCTTCTGACGTTCAGATGATTCTTCTCTTGTTGTCCGTCTTCCCCCCCCCCTTCCTGTCACTTTTTTTTTTTTTACACTATCATGTTAGTTCAATTATTTGCTGTTAGTATTACACAATATGCAATAGTTGATATTACAGTTCGCTGAATTTGATGAACAGACGGTTTACCACCTATCACAATTTCCATACTCATATCAATATTAGTGTGAGTTGAATCAGTCTCATTCTCTGTTTAAAAGCTGCTACAAGCTGCAGATTTATATAGGTACTTTGAATTTTCATTATAATGGAAAATTACTTATGTAATATACAGATCAAATTTTATTGATTTAGAAGCCTTAATAGTCTATATTGACACTGACTTAACAGTCAATCAAAATATAAAGCATAAGTGACACTGGCTTATTGTTTCATACTGGTTTCCTTCAGCATTGATTAGTCTTAGAAATGGTTAAAAGGTCAAAAAGTAATGACTACTAAAGAACTTTGAGAAAGTTTCTCACCTTGTTAGTGAAAAAGATGTTAAAAGTTCAAACCAAAAGAGAACATGAACTTAGGGAGAGCAGGCACCAGTAAACCTAAAAATTCTGAGTTAATCATAAAAGCAGAGAAAAGGAAGACTTACTTTTTGGGTTTCTTGTAGACATGTATTAAATCTGACCTCACTGACATTATTCAAGGATAAAAAAATAAGAATGTCTAGTCTTTTTGCTTAGCATCACTATCCCTAAAAGAGAGTCCTTTTCACATAGACCTTGGAGTAGTCATAGCATATGCATTTAAATCAAAAAGGAAAAGCAGACAGAAACCTTCCTAATATTTCACCTTGCTCATATCTTCTTATAACTTTTAAAATTATTAACACTAAACTAATAAAGTCCAGCTGAAGTTTGGGTTGTCTGAACACGGTTTTCTCTAGCACAGAGGACATAACAGGAGTTTCACATGTTCCACTGTCAACTCTAGCCATTGTATAGAGGCAAAAATAGCAAATTATGAAATATATTGTCTTATGTTATGAAAGCTCAAGAGCTGTAATAACAAACCCTGAGTACTACACTTTAGGACTGAACTTTCTAATCTTTTCACAGGCATGACTATCTAAAGGTATATATCTACTGTGTATACTTATTATAACACCATGACAATGAAGCAAATACAAAGATCACCGAGCATTAAAACTATTCAGTTTTATGCAAAACATGCTCACATACAGTTTTTACTTTCAAGCATTAAAATTATGGAAGTGTATTAATTAATGGTAACACAGATTCATCAACATTACAGTAAGATGGTGTGCAATGATTTATTTATGATCTTCGAACATATGAGCTAGCAAAGTGTGTTTTCCAAAATGCAGTCTTGCACAACTTGGCAAACAAACAATAGGGTAATTTTGCTTGTGATTATATTGAATTTTTTTTTCATTGAATGTTAATGAATTTTAAATTGTCTCTGTTAATTTTACTTTTTAATTACAGCACAATATGAACTTACTGGAGCTGATTAAAAATTGATTTACTCATTCTTTAGTGAAAGTTCTAGTCCCAAATTCCTAAATTAGAATGGGCTTATTTAAAGTGCAATTTAAACTTTAAAGAGAGAAAGTATAGAGAGTAATTTTAAATAGTTTTATATGCTTAAGTAGTTCTCCTTACTATTCATATGATACATGGTTACAGGTTAAACTAAATGTTCCTTCACTAAAAGATCTGATTGTACAACGTTTTCATTTCTGTGTATGTTGCTACATATTTCATAAACAAATTAGCATGGTACTGCCAATACAATCTTTCTTCAAGTATTAATGGTTTTGAGGTGGGTTTCCAAAAAAAAGATAAATCATCTATATGGAGTTTATTTCTGGTTATATATGTCAGTAGTAAAACAGAGCGGCCAAATGGCACATCAAGGAAATCCTTATTACAGTAAGTACAGACCAACAATCTTGTAAAGTGTAACTCTAGTGGGAAAACCCAAAACATCACATAGCAGTCACTGCTGTGAAAATATATTAAGAGATAAATATAATTGATGTTCTACTGACATGGATTTACAAAGCATGGAAGCAATGAACAAGTAGCATGATAGTTCACGCCTGTAATTTGTCCATACAGTGTGAATAATGTGTTAAAAATATTACCATCATTACCATGTACAAAACATAAACCAAAAAAAGGTATTCCATTTGGTGTCAAGAGAAACTTGTATTTCAGCCTGTCTGAAGAGGAGCACTAGCAGTTACATATAAAAACTTAATTATGAATCCACGAAAATAACCCAAAAATTCATCACAGTGGGAAACACCACATCCTTTCATTAGGTAACCAGTGTAATATAATATAAGGAGGAGAGTAGAAAAACTTGAAGACAGCATGACAGATACCACAACTCATCCTTGGGATAAGCTATGGGCTGACTTAGCTTATGAGGTTGGGGGGACAGGTTCGTATAACCGGCTCATCCACAGCCGTTTCCTCAAAACCACGTAAAGACATGAGAGACTCCTGCAAAATTTAGTTTCAGAATTTCTGCTAAGAATTGGGGTTCCATTTGAAAATAAAGAGGCTAATATTTCTGTCTTAATAACCTAAAAACTCAGGGTAGAAGGTACAACTGAAGCATAAGGTATAAATGAACCAAGCAGTCCTTAGTTCTCTGCTTTTCCTCAGAGGTTTGTACCAGAGTGAGACCTGTGTAGTGGTTATTCCTCCTTCAAAGACAGCTTCATTCCAAATCATACTCTATACACATTTCTGTGTATAATACAGTATTGTAACACTGCTGTCACAGCATAGTGCTGCTGCACATTTCTTTCCACAATATTTTCCCTTCATTTGTGGCCAAAATACTCAGCTTTGCAATTACTACTGTGCATTGTTCCTAAACACACAACAAAGAATGTCTCCTTGGGAGCCTATCATTGCTATGGGGCTGAGCTTTCCAAAGAAAACACCCTGGGTATTTTTTAAGGTCCTCTCCCAAGAGATATTAAATTAAATAATTTATACTTGAAATACACAGAGATTTCATGTCACTGCTTTCCTGTCCACACAGAAGCCAGCCTTCAGAATACCAGACATATGCTGTCCCTTGGCAAAGAGTTGACACTGGCATCAGGACAAGACAGTCATGCAAAAAAAAACAGGGAAAACAGTATAATGCTATGTGTTTGAATAGTAATTCTGTATATTACTCCTCCTGCTTCCAAGTGCCAGATTCTGTTTACCTTCATTAAATATATTTTACTATCCATGAAAACAGAGGGAAAAAAATACATATATGTATGCAAGTATGTATAGTGAGCTACGACCAATTTTGCCAGTAGATGGTATAATATGAGCTTAAATCTAATCTAGTAGATGTGAAATAAATTTTGAATTTATGTGCATTTTATTTCAATATCCACAATACTGCATGTTTAAGAAATTGTCATAAATCTCTGCATTTAAAATTTTGGCTAACTAGTCATAGTTTTTGTTTATAACTCAGAGTTCCTTCTGCTTTGTGTAGTACATTCAACATGAAGCCAATTTGAGTTATTTTATGTTTGTTTGGGCATATATAATGCATGAGATATGCATTTTGGAGAAATTAGGTCTATGGATAACCACTACTCCACATATATTTTGTTTACTTTCTTATATATACACTTTAATAAATGCGTTATAAGCACATGGATAGTCACTAGGATGCCTCCTGTTGTGATATATTATTGTCTGTTTGCATTGGATATGTTTGTAACAGGTCTAATAAATAACTAACACTTACAGCTATGAGCACTTTTTTTTAATTTACCCCTTTGGAGGAACTGACCATTGAAGATTCCCTAGAGCTGTCCAAAAATACTTTTTAAAAGCATGTTGTATAATTTATATTGAATTCCGAGTGTCTGTAAGTAATTACATTTCTCTATTTGCATGTCTGATAATTTTTCCTGACTGCTATTTACAAAAGGTCTGTCTACAAAGGACCTCTAAGAATAAATGTGTCTGGTGACTGTGGGGACATGAGGTGGGAATTAACTATGTAAGCAGGGGTGTGTGTGCATACATATATATTTGTATACATATATATACATAAATTCACACATATATATGCATGTATTTACACATATATATACACACAAACATATACACACATGACTTTTATATAACACTGGCTGTAAGAATAGAATTTGAAAATGGGAAGGAATCAGTGTGAATACATATCTGTGGATCTGCTACATTTTTTAATTACTCTCCTCAGATTTTTAGAATCTATTTGGGAAAGTTTCCAAAACCACGTATGGAATTTATGCATCCATTGTACTCACTGACATTCATTGGGCTTTAGAGGATTAACTCCATCAAGCTCCATGGAAAAATCCCACTGCTAGGATTTATATGAGGCTGTTCTTCTAAAGAAACCCCAGTGGTGAGCTTAATAATGTCTTGGCCAAGGGGTAAATCTGTTCAAAGCTCCACAACAGCTCATGCATACCAACAGAGACTGAAGTATGATACAGGGTATGTTTTTCGTTGATCAGTAGAGAAAGCTCCACAAATTTAAAAATATATTGGCCTGAGATCTTCATGCCTTGGTACACTTTTTTTATATAGTGAGCTAATGGAAAACAATCGCGATAATGACCTGCATGTTTAGTAATTACACATTCTAGAGAAACAATCTATTTTAATACTATGCCAATTTAAGCCCAGTTAGGATTTGAAATCTTAAGAGATATAATGATATACTGGAACAATCTTGATTACAGAGTTAATTAGAGAGTTAGTTTATTTTTTATTAAAAATTAATAATTCATGCACCTTAATTGTTGGATAATGATGGGTTTGTCTGTTATATGTAGTTAAAAATTATAAAACAGTGCTTTACATCTATGATTTAAAGCATTAATTTTCATAAAATACATGTCAAAGGTTTGCTGTTAAAGCAGTTATCAAAAATCTAACGCAAATAAAAATATCGCTCATTTAAAATAAAATTTTAAAAAATCCTAGTAAGTCTGAGTTGCCAAGGTTTCTATTTTTTGCTTTATCAGGGAAAGTCACAAAGAGTTCTCTTGAGTTAATAGTCAGAATAAAGTAAGACCATAAGCAGACCAGAAATTCTGAGGGGCCAGTCCTCTTCCTAAAGTTGGAAGCTCCAGACAGGAGCTCATGAGCTTTCCTTCAGATTTAATTCTAGATGTCCTTTTCTTCATGCACACGTGAATAAATGGAAAAATATTTCTGTTAGCTAGATCTCCCATTTAAACAGATATGCAATCATCATGGTACCTAAATATTGTGTGTACACTCCCTAACTCAATTTTCTCACATTATTTAATGTGCTCCGTGCTTAATACCTGATAGAAGACTTTCCACCCATACCAATTAACCTTACCCTCCAGTTCTGTTCTACCCAGTTGTCCTTGAATATTGTCCTGTTCTCTTCTGTGCTGTTCATTTGAATTAGTTTGAATTTCTTCCCAGAAATCGTTTGTAATCTAAAAATTGTACCAACCTGCTTGCCCCTTTTTTCCATTTTTAATTTCCCAAGAGATATAAATGGATTTCCCAATTTAAGCATATGACAAAGAGCACTCCCTTTCAGAGCATGCTTTCCTTTTTTCTCTCTTATTTCACTTATACCAGTCACAGCAGTTGTTACCTGAAAAGATAATTTTTTATGAATAAGGGCCTCTCTACACTCAGGTGGAACTCCATATGACTCTAACATTAGCTGCTGAGTTTATAGTACCTATCAAGTCAAAAAATGTGCTATGAAATTACCAGGGAATGTCATACTCTCTCCTGAGTGAGAATTAAATAGCAGTAAAGAAGATATGGTGACAATCAATACCCAGCATCACCATAATAACTAGGATTATTTTTAACTATAGCATTGTGTTGGACATATTATAACCCGTGTTGTCTAAACACCAGCATGAGAACCAATGCAAAATTTACTTATATATACTGAAAAGCATTTAATGGATTTTCCCATAATAGGAATCATAGAATAGTTTGGGTTGGAAGGGACCTTTAAAGGTCATCTAGTCCAACCCTCCTGCAGTGAGTAGGGACATCTTCAACTACATCAGGTTGCTCAGAGCCCATCCAACCTGGCCTTGAATGTTTCCCAGGATGAGGCATCTACCACCTCTCTGGGCAACCTCTTCCAGTGTTTCACCACCCTCATGGTAAAAAATGTCTTCCTTATATCTAGTCTGAATCTACTCTCTTTTAGTTTAAAACCATTACCTCTTGTCCTATTGCTACAGCCCCTACCAAAAAGTCTGTCCCCAATAATAAAATTGTGGAATGGTTTGGGTTGGAAAGGACCTTTAAAGATGATGTAGTTCAACCCCTCCTGCTATGGGCAGGGACATCATTCACTAGATCAGAGACAGCAAATGCTCTCTCTGAAAGCAGCCAGATCAAGCAGCCAGAACAGCAGAGCACAGTGCGCTGTGTTCTCAAGCACTTAGGTGCTGGGAGTGTTTCCCTGAGGAGTTTATCACCTAGACAGTGACCTTCACGGTCTTACCCATTTCAGAAAATCCACAACCCTGTCAAAACAGCAGAGTTATCTGTGCAGCTGGATATTCCTTAGTACACATAGTCTGAAAACATAGATATATGAATCTTACCATGTTATGTGTCTCCCTTTCTGTTTATTAGATGATGTAAAACTAGGAGAAATGGTTGATTACACAAGATAGGTGCACAGCCATTCAGAGGGACCTTTAAAGACTGGAGAAATGGGCCAACAGGAACCTCATGGAGTTCAACAAAGGGAAGTGACAAGTCCTGCCCCTGGGGAGGAATAACCCCATGCATTAGTAATAAGCTGGGGGCCGACCACCTGGAAAGCAGCTGTGTAGAAAAAAACTTGGGGTCCTGGTGGGCAACAAGTTGACTAAAAGCTAGCAACATGCCTCTGGAGCAAAGCAGGCCAACAGCATCCTGGGCTGCATTACAGCTGCAAGCAGGTTGAAGGAGGTGATCTGCTCACCACATGAGCTGGAGTGCTGGGTCCAGTGCTGGGCTCCCTGGTACGGGAGAGACACGGACTTACTAGATCAAGTCCAGAGAAGGACCTCTAAGCTGCTGAAGGGCTTAGAGCATGTTACATCCAGGGAGAGGCTGAGAGCTGAGACTGTTCAGCCCGGGGAAAAGAAGGCTTAGAGGGATGTTATCAATGTATGTACACACCTGAGGGGAGGTAAAGAAGGAAGAGACAGACTCTTCTCAGCAGTATCCAGTGATAGGACAAGAGAAAATGGGCACAAATGGAAATACAAGAAATTCTTTTTAAATGTAACAAAGTGTTTTACTGTCAGGTTGGTCAAACACTGGAACAGGTTGCCCAGAGAGGCTGTGGCTTCTCTGGTTTTGGAGATACTCATAAGGCAACTGTACACAGTTATGGGCAACCTGCTTAATTGGTCCTGCTCTGAGCAGGGGTTTTTGACTTGATAAACTCCAGGGGTCTTGCCAAACTCAGCTACTCCTTGATTCTA